CGCCCAGCAGCCTTGCTCTGGGTGGACCTGTGTCCCTGGCTGGCACTGCCCCTCCACGGGTGTGACCAGGTGAGGCGAGGGTGGCGTTGAGGGGGAAGCCTGGGGCTTCAAAGCCAAGGGACAGCAAAACGGAAGGTGAGGGACAGACATCAAGGGACGGACTCAGCCAGCAGCCAGCACTGACAGCACTGCCCTGCCTGCGCTGGACTTTGCACCTCCAGCTTCCAGAATGCTGGAAAGTACGTTTCTGTCGGGGGCTGGGGATTTAGCTCAGTGGCATAATCGCCTGCCTTGAAAGCAGGCAGCAGTGAGTTCGATCCCTGGTACCGATAAAAATGAAAAAGCCAAAAAAAAAAAAAAAAAAAGTACGTTTCTGTCACTTGAAAGCAGCCGCAGGAAGCCAGACGCACTGTAATCATCTGATAAGCATCTTGTTCCCTGGCACCTGGCGTGTCTTGCAAGAATCCATTTATTTATTTATTTGTCTTTTTTGAGACGGGGTCTCGCTAGCAGTCCAGGCTGCCTTGAGCTCACTTTACAGCCCAGGCTGGTCTCAAACTCCCAACGATCTTCCCACCTCAGCCTCCCGAGTGCTGGGATTACAGGCGTGAGCCAGCACACCCGGCTCAAGAGTCCATTTATTTTTTAAAATTTTTTATTTTTTTCTTTTTATCAGTATCGGGGATCGAACTCACGACCACCTGCTTGCAAGGCAGGTGCTTATGCCCCTGGGCTAAATCACCAGCACAAGAGTCCATTTATTAAAAGAGTTAAAATGTACCACAGAATCAGAAACACGAAGAAAACATACGCTGACTGGTAAAATACATGTGATTAAATACATACTGCAGAAGTGTGCTGGAAGGTTGAGCACCCACACTTCCTTCTCAGTCTGAAGATGTACCCGCCGAGACACAGCAGCAGCCCCCCTGAAGCTTCATACTTAGGGACAAGATCTCATTAAATCACCCAGTTGCTCAGGCTGGGCTCGGACTCGCCACCCTCCTGCCTCGGCCTCCTACCAGAATTACAGGGTCCCCACTGGACCCCTGCACACGGTCCTCAGAAGGCTCTCCACCATCTCTCAGTTACGATAGCTCATGCCGTGAACCTGCTGGGTAGACACCTGTTCTGCTGCACCACGAGGGTGACAGGGTCGGAAATGGGGCATTGGTGGCGAATACAGACGCGGTTGGTTTCCCAAGTATCATCTGATGTTGTTTGGACCCGGAGTCAGACTGCACACAGAGGGCTGGCTGAGTTCACTCATTCCCGGTCCATTTCCTGTCTGGCTTCCACCTGCGCCCCTGCAGGGGGTCCTGGAGCACAGGGAGCCTCCAACAGATGCACACCAAATGTGAGAAGGGAGGTATCCTGGCTCCCCCACACCCACCCCAGCCCGGAGCCAGGCACTGGGGTGCGAGAGGCTGGGTGAGCTCAAGGCCAGACTGGACCACACAGGGAGGGCCTGTCTCCAAAAGCAAAGCAGAGCAAAACAAAACAAAGAAAAGAAAGAAAAAGAAACAAAAGAAATGGCTTAAAGGGCCGTTGGCTAGGGTAGCCGAGTGGGACGGCGCTTGCCTGGTGTGCACCAGGCCCGGGTTCTACACGAAGCTCTGCAGGAATCAAACAAACAAGGAGGGGCCCGGGCGGTGCTGGGTGCGGGACGCCAGGCCTCACCACTGCAGTGACTCGGTTTCTCATGGAGACCTCAGGTTTCTCGTGGGAGCCTGTCTGTGAAGCTGTCTGTCCTGCCTGTCGGTCACCCACTTTCCCAAGGTGCTCTGCCCCATGACCACCCAAGCTTGGACGGGAGCTCCAAGTCCAGCGTGAGCCTGGGGGAAGCGGAGGGGGCCACTCTACAGCAGGAGAGTCTCCCGGGGTCCGGGAACCTGTTTCAGAGCCATTCCGTTTTCATGATCAGCGACCAGTTGCTATTTCCTGTTTTTGAGACAGGGTCTCACTGTGTAGTCCAGACCAGTCATGAGCTCATCTCTAGAAAAGCAATTCTGTGCTGCTGCAGGCAGGCCGCTTGTGCCTCTCTCTCTTTCTCTGTCTGTCTGTCTCTCTCTCCCGAGTGCCCGGGGCTGTAAACTGAAGCTTAAAGCCAGCGTCCCCCAATTGATGAGTTGCCAACCTGCTCAACTGCACTGAGGAGTGAAGCCCGTAACAGCCAACGAACAGCTTCCTTATAGGTTTGCGAGGTTACTGAGGTATATGAAGACCACGCAAAAGGAAAGCCCGGGCCAGGCCTGTGCTCTGTAAAGGCCTCGGCTGTCTGCTTCATCACCAGCTGGAGGCACGACGTTGCCTTGAAAGGTTCCGCCAAGCACTAGGGTGCAAGGCGCCCGTCCCCAGTTGCCCTTTCTGATTTCAGAGGGGCTTGTGGTAACGCAGCCAGAGTCCACAAGTGTCACTGAGCTGGTGTTATACTCAGGACGCTCTGAGAGATGCAAACTGGGACTCTGCTCCGTCTGCCCGGGAAGCACAGATAAAGGGCACTCGTGTGAATAACCAAGGCATGTGTGCGCCTTGGAGGAAACCAGGGTAGCTGGACGGGGCTGAAGACAAGGCTGGCAGCCAGGGTGTGGGGAGGAGCGAGCTACAGGGGGACCAACAAGTGCAAAGGCCCACAGCAGGTGTAAACCCCAGCAGGCAGGATGCAGACAGGTGGTGAGGGTTATGGGGTCCAGAGTTCAGGATGGGGTGGGAGGGCAGACACCAGCCAGGTCCCCAGGAGGGAGGCGATGGGAGAGCTGCCGGGGGTGAGTAGGGAGGTGGCACAAGACGTCTCTTAGGGGTGCCCTGCCCGAGCTTCACAGCTGAAAGCTAACTGTGAAGAAGCAACCTCAGATGACCCCGTGGGGGACTGTGCTCCCCAGCTTTCCACGACTGCACAGTGGACTCATGAGAGCGTCCACCTACACAGAGAAAGTTGTTTCACCGCAGCCCTGGGCATTTCGGTCAGTGATCACCGACAGTGTTGTTTCAGGTCTGTAGCAACCAAATGGCCAAGAAGCCAGAGGACGAGATCAGCCAGGGACCCTCTGGCCCCTAGGAGTGAACCCTGGGGACCTAAGGGCACCCGATGCCTGCGTGTGACAGGTTACCCCGACAGGTCAGCTCCCAGGAGCATTGGGGACGAGTGGCACTTGAGAACTGCCAGGGAGACTTTCACGGTGACAGTGTCACCGAGGTCGACCTCTCGATGAGGGTGACTGTCAGTGGTTGTCACGGCAGAGCCTGGCTTTAAGACATACACACCAAGGGCACCTGCAGGCCACTTCTGGTCCAGTATTCCAGAGGAAATATCACAAACACGCATGGCCATGACTGAAGAGAACATACATGTGCATGTAGGCATACACACAGAGGCGGGGCATGGGGGGAGAAGGGGTGATAGAAAGGAACTCAAAAATATAAAACCAGGAAAAAGCAAGCAGCATTAGAGACCGGGAGGAAAGGAGGGCTGAGTCCTTGTAGCATTTTTGCACAATTTTTTTCAATTTTTCTTTTTTTTTTTCATTTTTATCGGTACCAGGGATGGAACTGCCTGCTTATAAGGTAGGCGCTTATACCGCTCAGCTAAATCCCCAGCCTCTTTAATTTTTTTTTTTTAAGAAGTATAGAGGCATTGCTATTCCTTTTAATATTACTTTTATTTACTTGAAATAGTCTTGCTATGTAGCCCAGGCTGGCTTCAAACTCATGGTGATCCTCCTGCCTCAGCCTCCGGAGTGCTGGGATTACAGGTGTTGGCCACCACCCCGATTTACAACCTAGTTTCAAGTCTGCACATATTTCTGTGTATTTGGCTGCAATTTCCCTCCCTCCTCCTCCTCTTCCTTCTCGCGGGGATTGAACCAGGGGCTTTGCTCATGTTAAGCAGTTGCGATTTTTGAAGTGCAGATGAAACAGATTTTCAACGCTCGCCGGATGGCAAACACGAATCAACGCCTGTGAACGCAGAGCCCGGCAGCCAAGGCTCTGGAAAGCGCTGGCAGGGCTAACACCTATGCCCCCATCCTCCTGCCTCAGCCTAAGATCGCCAGCTTCACCAACTTGAGTTTGGGCAACTCTGTAAGTAACTCACACAGCCACCGGCAGCCGTGTGGGTTCCCGAGTAACCGACCGTCGGGCGGCAGACTTCCCCGCACCCACACCCCTGCAGGCGGGCGGGCTCCGCTGGAGTCACCCGCACAACCAGACCAGCGGGGCTGAGTCCGCGACGGCGGAGCCGCGGTTCTCAGCGCCACCTTTCGGGGCTCCCCGCCCCGTCCCGTCCCGTCCCGGGGCGCCCTCCATTCCTCCCTCCGAGGCCGCAGCGGGAGCCTCCCACAACGGAAACAACGCCCGGACTCCGTCCCTGTCCCCGGGCCCTGACCCCTGCCCGGCTCGCGCCGAGCTGCACCCGCGGCAGGTCCGCAGCGGAGGCCCGGCGCGCGCCATGCATCCCGGCACGCTGCCGGCCGAGCCCCGGAGGCGCTCGCAGGGCGCGGACGCGTCGCCACCGTGTCCGCGGGCCGGGCGCACGGGCGATGGGGCGGCCGCGCTCCCTCATTCATTCATTCATTCCTCCGCCCTCATTCATTCTGCGGCGCGACCACGTGACTGCGCCGCCGGCCAGTCCGCCAGGTCCGGACGCGGCCGGCCGCATGGGTGGTAGCTGGGCGCGGCGTGGGGGTGAGGGGTTGGCCGGGGACCTCGTGCGCACAGGCGCAGAGCGCCTTCTGCGGGCCTTTCCCGCGCAGCACAGGCCGCCGCCCGCGTGACCGGCGGCAGCAGGGAGGACGGCACGCTCTGTGCGCATGCGTGACGGGAGCCCGCCCTCGGAGCCGGCGCACGAGGCTCTAAATCGCGGCGTGCGCGCGCGCGTACCCGCTTCGCCACCCACGTGACCCTGCCGCACCGCCCTGAAACGTCCTATCACGGGCCAGCCCAAGCGGCCGCTTGAGCCGGAGCGTGCGTGCGTACCTGCGCGCGCGCGAGCGGCGGGCCTCGTGGTTGGGCGCGGTGCCGTTGCCCCGCCCCTCGAGGCTCCGCCCCCTCGCGCGCCGGCGTCGGCTGCGTCTCCGGCATTTGAATCGCGCTTCCGCCATCTTTCCAGCCTCAGTCGGACGGGCGCGGAGACGCTTCTGGAAGGTAGCGGCGGGGCCGGGAGCGGCGGGCGGCCGGGAGTGCCGGGAGGCGACGGGGAGGTCCGGGAAACGGCCGGCATAGCCGCGGGGCGGGTACGGGGCGGCGGGCGGGCTGGGTGCGGCGGGCGTCCCCCGCGCCGCGGCCCCCTCCCCCACCGCCCGCGGCCCGCCGGCCCCGCGCCGCGCGGCCTTTGTAAGCGCGCGCCTCTCCCGCAGGATCGCCGCGATGGCCGCGCAGGGGGAGCCGCAGGTCCAGTTCAAGGTGCGTGCGCGGCGCTCGGGGCGGGGCGGGGCGGGGCGGGCGGGGGCCGGGCTGCCTGCGGGTCTCGGGGATCGGGGCGCGGGGATCGGGGTGCGGGGATCGGGGTGCGGGGCGCCGGGCCGGGCTCAGCCGCAGCCGCCTCCCCCCGCAGCTCGTGCTGGTGGGCGACGGCGGCACCGGCAAGACCACGTTCGTGAAGCGCCACTTGACGGGCGAGTTCGAGAAGAAGTACGTGGCCACGCTGGGCGTGGAGGTGCACCCGCTCGTGTTCCACACCAACCGCGGCCCCATCAAGTTCAACGTGTGGGACACGGCCGGCCAGGAGAAGTTCGGCGGCCTGCGCGACGGCTACTACATCCAGGGTGCGCACGTGGGCGCCGGCCGTGCTGTGTCATCGGCCGGGCGGGGTGCGGGTGCTGCGGGGTGCGGGGGGGCGGCTGGCAGCGGGCACACGAGCTGCGGGCATCCCCGCCCTTCCCGTGTGGGGCTTGGTTTTGTGTCGCTGTGTTGTCGGGGCCGGGCTGCACCCCGGAGTCCGTCTGCCTCTCGGGGTCCCTGTGTGCGCCCCCCCAAGTGGTTCACGTGGGTTGTATCACTGGGCATGCCAAGGTTATTGTGCAGGGTTTTACGAGTTTGAAAGTGAAGGTAGCAGTTCTCGGGCATAACCAGCCCTGTAAAGGTCTTAGCAGAGAACATGCTGGCATGCTCTGCATTGGGGGTCTGCAGGTCCTGCTCAGGAGGAGGGAGGCATGGGTTCTCGGGTATAACCAGCCCTGTAAAGGTCTTAGCAGAGAACATGCTTGCATGCTCTGCACTGGGGGTTTGCAGGTCTTGCTCAGGAGGAGGGAGACATGTGTTCTGCAGTGATCTAGTTTAAATTGTGAGGTGTTGGGGCTGGGGCAGACAGGGCGTCAGGATGCTCTGGCAGGCTTTCCCAGGATTCCAGGTCCATACTGGCCACGACAATGAGTACATTCCGTGTTCTGAGCGTTGGAAGGGCTCTGGCCTCTGGGCAGGTGGAGATGACAAGCCCGAGTTGCTCGGCCGCTGGCCTCCACCGGCTCCTCAGGTTGCATTCATGGCTCTGACCTCTTTGCAGCTCAGTGTGCGATCATCATGTTTGACGTGACGTCCAGAGTTACCTACAAGAACGTGCCTAACTGGCATCGAGACCTGGTGCGCGTGTGTGAGAACATCCCCATCGTGCTGTGTGGCAACAAAGTGGACATTAAGGACAGGAAAGTGAAGGCAAAGTCGATCGTCTTTCACCGGAAGAAGAACCTTCAGGTATGCCGGACCTGGCTCTGTGCGCTTGTGCCAGGCCGGGCGTCTCACCCCGGGTGCCCTTAGCTCAGCCTCAGAACCGGTCTTCCTTGCGGTGGTGACGTTTCTAACCCTTAACTGCGCTTTTGTTTTGAACAGTACTACGACATTTCTGCCAAGAGTAACTATAACTTTGAGAAGCCCTTCCTCTGGCTCGCCCGGAAGCTCATCGGAGACCCCAACTTGGAGTTTGTCGCCATGCCCGCTCTTGCCCCGCCAGAGGTCGTCATGGACCCAGCCTTGGCAGCGCAGTACGAGCACGACCTAGAGGTAACCCTCCGCCCTCCCTCCGACAGGCTTGGGCTCGGGCCGGGGCTGGGCTGGCTCCCGCGGCTCACGGCTGAGTGCGCTGGTGTCCATCTCTTTCCCTCCAGGTTGCTCAGACCACTGCGCTCCCAGACGAGGATGACGACCTGTGAGGATGTGCAGCGGCCCGGCGTCAGAAGTCTAGTTTTATAGGCAACTGTCCTGTGATGTCAGCGGTGCCGCGTGTGTGCCACTTTGTTATCTAGCTAAGCAGACATGTGCTTCATCTTGGGATGCTGAAGGAGATGAGTGGTTTCGGAGTGAATGTGGCAGTTACCCTTCATTTGGACCTGCATATTTAGCTGTTTGGAACGCAGTTGTTTTCCTTCTTGAGTTTCAAATATAAGACTGCTACAGTCACATCACATTACTCGGTGGTGAAATCTTGTTTGTTATTGTCATTCCCGTTCCTTTTCGTTTAGAATCAGAATAAAGTTGTATTTCAAATATCTAAGCCAGCGAGCACATCCCTGTCTGAGCTGTGAGCGCTGAGAGCCGCTTGCAGGGAGCTGGTCTTGGCTTGGCCCAAGGCAGCCTGCAGCCTGTCCCGTGTCCTCTTGGCTTCCGAGTCCGTCTGTGGCATGCTGTGGACCGGTTGTGTTAGGTGAGGAGGGCGAGGCATGCGTGTGGCCGGTGTCCTTGACCTGGGACGGTCAAGTCTGCCCGCCTGTGTTGGTTGGCCGTGGCACCTAGGAACCAGAGCCTTTTCCCGTGAGGGATGGGGTGCGCTGAGCTTCAGAGTAGAGGTAGCCCCGTTTCCATGTCGGTCTGCAGGAGGAGGGGTGATGTGAATTGTCGGGGATTGTCAGGAGGGAGCCGCCTGCCTTTCCCGCTGTGAGTCCTCTGGTGGATGCTATGGGGTCTGTCTGCCTGCTGCTGCAGGTGCCCTGAGCCTTCAGACCCAGAGGCTGTCCGAGGCCGGGGCAAGTGGGGCCAGCGGTGGCTGGGCTGCTGCAGCCCAGGGCTGCCCAGCAGCGGTCTGTTCCAGGGCGTCTGAGTCTGCAGCGCTCTGCCCAAGCTGTCCTCCCCTGTGTGCACCGCCGCTCACCACGGTTCCTGCTCACCACGGCTGTCCTTCCCGTGCGTGAGCAGCTGTAGGAGACGGCTTCCTGCCTGGAGCAGCGGTGAAAAGGTCGTGGGTGAGATGCGGAGGGTGGCCTTGACCAAGACGGACCTTAGTCGCTGTGCAGGCTGGCGCCCACGTCCACCCAGGTCTAGCTGGCCCTGTAAACTGTGCCATGCACTCAGCTGGGTTTCAGCGTCTTGTGTCAGGAGAGGTTTTTGCTGGTTGTGATGGAACCTTCCAGATGTTTTGAACTTCATGTGTGTGTGACCTGTAGAATGTGAGTATCTGCCATGCCAGGCAGCTGAGTGCCAGAGGCAGAGTGTGTAAGGGCACCGGGAGAGGATTGCGGGCCCTTCCTTCACTGGGAGGAAAACATTGTTGCAAACGTGCGGACTTGGCCTGCCTGCAGTTTCTGAGTCATGTCCAGTGGCTGCTGTCCCCCCGGTGACCACAGGCCTTAGCGTGTGAAACTGGCAGTGGCGAGGGTCGGGGGCCATGTGTGCGGGATGGGGGGTCCCCGATTCGGAGTGCGGTGTGCACGTAGGGGCGAACGGGATGAGGTCACTACACACGAGTCGTGTAGAGCGAGGTCACGGGAGAAGGCACATGTTTGCACGAGTAAGCGTGAAGCGCATTAGACTGGGAAGGGGAAGGTGTTCTCAGAAGACCATCTCCGTCATGGCGGGCTGGTTCCCAAAATCACAGCGAGGCGCTGAGTTGAAGTTGCAGGGTGTCTGGCAACGCAGATGAAAGGGGAGAGGCTGTCCTGGCCTGGCCCAGGCCGTGCACCGCGCCTGTCACCGCAGGGTCTGGTCTGGTGGCGAGGACACGGGGAGGAGTAGGTGAGCGGTGGGCTCGGGCACTGGGGGCTCTGGGCGGCGAGTGTCCAAGTGGTGGCTGGGTTTCAGAGGGCCGTGGGCCAGGTGGACAGCGCTGGCGTGGCGTGGCGTGGCATGGCCTTCACATGTGGCTCTGGGGACCAGGGGGCACTGACGACAGTCACCTTCACAGGGGCTGTTGGTGGCTCTGCCTGCGCGGCCCGCGTCCCATGCCATCCACCGCCCGGTGACCTTGGACAGCTGTCCTGCGTGCTGAGCTGCAGTTCTTGCCCTCGTCCTCCTCTTGAGGTGTGTTAGCTTGGCACCGTCGCCCTCGTGCCTGCTGCCCACACACATCCGCCCCAGTGACAGCCCTGGGGAGGCGACCCCAGGTGGGGTGGCCTCCGTCCTGGGGTCAGGTGCACTCCACCTGGCTCAGGGCAGTGTAGTGGGAGCAGTGATGGGCCATGCTGGTGTTGGCCATACAGTCCTCCGGGGATCGCAGGGTGTCCGGGGCCTTGTAAGGTCAGGGTCCGCACGCCCCTGGCCATGGGGCGTGTCCCAGGAGCTTTGCTAGGACTCCCGTGAGGCTCAGGGGAGCCAGGCTGTGGGGCTGGGCCAGACCTAAAGCACCCTGGGGATGCGGAAGCCTTGGGGGCTGGCATGACCCAAGGGGTGAAGGAATTCAGGGCAACTGTGGCAGTGGGAGGGCAGTTGCTCACAGGTTGGGCTGCACTGAGCTCTCTTCCGAGAGCCAGGCGCACACCTGTGGTCTCCACGCTGGGGAAGCTGAGGCAGGAGGATCGCTGCAGGGGTGAGGCCAGCCAGGGCTGCACGCCGGAGCTGTGCATAGCGAGCCCCTGTATCAAGACAGTCAGAACTCGGGTGGGAAGCCACTGAAGGCCCAGAAGCCCTGTAAACGGCGACAGCGTGAGTGTGCAGGGCTGCTGAGGCCAGCCTCCCCACGGCTAGGGTGTGGGCATCGCAGGGACGGCCCCGCGGTGGCTGTGGCCACACTGGTGCACAGGAGTGATGGTGCCCGGGGCGAGGCAGGAGCAGCTCTGCCTGGGAGCAGGGTGGCGAGGCCAGCCGTGAGGCTGTGGTGTGGCTGATGGTGGCTTGCTGGCCCGGCCCAGTGGGGGTCAGTGCGGGGCAGGAGCGGTCTTGGGGCAGGCGAGGTGCGGCTCGGTGTTTTAATTAGAAAGTTGCTAATTTTAATTTTAGTATGCTCACGTTGGTTAAAACTTCCTTCAATGCTTTTTATGTCTTAAAACTTGCTCTGCAGCCTCCCAGCTGGAAATGGGGCCGGCAAGGTACCCGCCTGTAACCCCGGCACTGGGGAGGCTGAGGCGGGAGGCTCACCACCAGCTGTTCTGAGCTGCATCGTAAGGAGATGGAGGCGGCCCTGGAGTCACCTTCCTGCCCCGGAAGAACCCTTTGACACCAGGGGAGCTTGGTGTCCTCCCTGGAGCCAGCCGCGGGACTGGGGTTAATTTGGGGACCGGCATCTCCAGGGCAGAGGATGTGTGACCGCCCGCCGGGGCTGCTTTCTGGGGCGGGGTCCTCCCCCTCAGCCTCCCAAGCCCTGGGTTCTGGCTGTGCCCCCGGCCCTGGCTGAAACCCAGCTGTGCTATGCTGTGCTGTGCCGGTTGGCTTCCTCCTGCCTGGGTGGTGTGAGGGCTGGTGGGTTGTGCGTGAGCAGCCGGGTATACGCAGTGAGTCCTGGCTGGGTCCACGGTGGGCAGTAGGTCTCAGGCTGCCATGAGGCCCACGCCTGTGTGGCCGTGCCGTGCACGCGCTGCCCGCCGTCCCGCTGTCCTCTGTGACCAGGCAGTGGGTATCCCGAGGTGCTCCTGCGCTTGCTGGAGAAGCTGGTCGCGGTCAGCCCCAGGAGTGTCCTGGGTGCCCCGAGGGCGGCTGCCCTTTCTCCCGCCGTGTCCTCACTGAGTGTCTTGGACCACCTGCTGTCTCCAGGCATGGCGTTCTCCGTGCTGATGTTGAACCATGAGAGCCAGGTGACGTCAGCAGTGTGTCCGAGGCCTCCGAGGTGAGCGAGGCCACGTGTCCCGTGGGTGCCCATAAGTGGGTCTCCCAGCTGGCCGCCACGGTGTTCCCAGTCCCTCGGCATGAGAGGTTTCCTTGTGGGCTGAGCGGGTGCTGCCCCTGTGCTGTCCTCCCCGCCCACCTCAGGGAGGCTCCCGGGCTCCCGTGCCCCAGCCCTCGGTGTGCGAGCTTGGGACGGCAGAGCGTCATCCCCGAGGACGGAAGGGCCCGGGCAGGCTTCTCTGCCGTCCTGAGTGTCTGCCGAGGGGACGCTGGGGCAGCCACTGTCCCCAGCGCCGGAGGCTGAGGCAGATAGGTTGCTGCGGGAAAGAGCTGGGCTTGCACTCTGGGACTGCAGGTGGCCTGTGGGACACACCCGTGGGGACCATGGGGGCCCTCCCAGCTGAGGCTGAGGAGTGGCGGGACTCATGGGGGCCGAGGGTGTGTGTGTGTGTGTGTGTGTGTGTGTGTGTGTGTTCCCCACCCCCACCCAGAGGTTAACTCGGCCTCACCCGCCACCAGGTGCCTGTGCCCTGCGCCCGTCCCAGCCCCAACCCATCAGCTGTGTTTGGGGGCAGGGTCAGGACCCCCAGAAACGGCGAGCGTCCCCCACCGCGCCCACACGGCGGAGATGGCGGGTCTGCCGCGCTGCTCTTGCTGCTGCTGGGAGCTGAGGGCCGGCCAGCGGGTTAACGTCTGGAGAACTGCAGGGTCCAGCCCTCTGTGGCTGACGGCCACCATCCTCGGCGGTGCCCTCTGCCCGCCCGGCTGGGTGTGGTGCTGCACAGGCACCTCCTCAGCCCCCGCGAGGCTGACGCAGGAGGGTCCGCGAGCAAGACGCTGTCTAAAGGACCTGGGCTGGTGCCCCAGTACCGCAGAACAAGGGCGTGGGCCACGCTGTGGGGATCTGGCGTCTCCTGGGTTTCCTGAGCCCAATTTACAGCAGAGGGCGAGGGCCATGTGGACTGCGGCCCAGCAGGGGCCTGGTTCCTCACTGGGGAGATGGGCACCCGGGCCGCCTCCGGCCGAGCTGACCCCCTCGGCTCCCGCTCCCGCTCCGGCCGGCTCAGCTGCTGGGTGGCCCCGAGCTTTGTTTCTCACCCGCTATCTTACATCTTTGCAGTTCTTTATTTTTTTTGGTCTTTTTGAAACGGGGTCTCCCTATGCAGTGCAGGCTGGCCTTGAGCTCACTCTGTAGCCCAGGCTGCTCTTGAACTCGCAGTGATCCTCCTGCCTCAGCCTCCCAAGTGCTGGGATGACAGGCGTGAGCCCCCACGCCTGGTGCATTTGCAATTAGCTGCAGAACTGAAAAGGTGTCTGCAAGTGCGTGATGGTCGCATCCTTGTGGGGAGCTAATGTGCGGCCGAGGCGCTGCGGTCCCTCCTGCCCCCATTTGTGTACCCACCTTTAATTTGTGAGGCGGGGTCTCCCTGTACTGCTGCATGGTGCAGGCCGGGCCTGAGCTTACTCCTTTTCAGCCTCTCGGTCGCCCTGTGCTGGGATGGCAGCCTGCTGTGTCGGGGGGCA